CAAGTGAGTAGCAGTAAATGGAGGTTTGATCGAAGATTTTGATGTTATTAATTCAGCTAGAAACAATGGAAGAGAAATGGATAGAATCAACATCAAGTGGTAGCTATGACTTCTCTTGTACAAAAGTTTGCAACTTGATAATATACATATCTCAATTCTAGTTATAGAATTGGGGGCAAACGTACCCGAAACAAGGACGAAAAGGGGAACTGCCTAAACAAATCGGGTGTCGTTCTCTTTCTCTCTCTGTATCTCTTTACTTTGTGTTCTTAACGTTTGTGTGAAATCTAACTTCTCATAACCACCCTAACGTTAGTGTGAGATATATATATATATATATATATATATATATATATATATATATATATATATATATATATATATATATATATATATATATATATATATATATATATATATATATATATATATAGAGAGAGAGAGAGAGAGAGAGATAGAGAGAGAGAGATAATCTAACTTCTCATAACCATCCTAACCATTTTCTTTAGTGACTATTTCAATGGAATGGTGAAATAGAGTGAAAATTGTAAGAATTCTCATAATCCTAAGGCTAAACAATGGGACAATGCAGGCAGTAAAAAAGGTAGTGTTTATGTGGGAGAGATTACTTCTTTCATTTTCACTTTGTTTCTGGAAGATTATGGCACTAAAGATATAAAAAAATGTTTTTTCTCTGTTTGAGGACCTTCGAGTGGTGGTCATTCCACCGAAGCATGATAAATGGAGAAGAATATGTGACTTTGTGCGGGTTTTTAACCTGAAGGATCCATCGTTCACGAGAACTAAATTGGATAACATCTTCCTAGGTTCTATGAAGCTTTATGTCAATCTGCCAAGATTTAATATGGAGAGTAAGTATTATGTTAGGAGATTTGAAAAGGAGGGACCTTATGAGGTTAAATGGAAAACTGGAAAATCCCAAGATGGTGAGAGTTCTGCAATTAGGAAGAAAAATAACTCAGTCTCTAACCATGGTGTCAACTATCAGGATAAGAGGAAAGGAGGTTGTTTGTATGCTTATGTGCTTTAGGATTTGGTTCTCTCAATACAATATAATATTTTAAATTTACTCCATTTAATTTCTATGAACATACAAAAGTATATCTAGAGAGTGAGAGGGAGAGAGAGATAGAGAGAAAGAGAGAGAGAGAGAGAGAGAGAGAGAGAGAGAGAGAGAGAGAGAGAGAGAGAGAGAGAGAGAGAGAGAGAGAGAGAGAGAGAGAGAGAGAGAGAGAGAGTCCAACTTCTCTGTAACTTTTTGTAACCAACCCTAACCATTTTCTTCAGCAACTCTTTGAATGGAAGTTTGAAAGATAGTAAAAATCGAAAGAATTTTCATAATCTTAAGGATAAACAATGGGACAAAGCTTGCATAAAGAGAGGTGTTGCTGTTGTGGGAGAAAATACTACTTTCTTTTTCATTTCATTTCCGATGGCACTAAAGATACTCAGGAAGTTTTTTCTTAGTTTGGGGACTTTCATGAGGTGGTCATTCCGCCGAAGCTTGATAAATGAAGAGGGAGATATGGATTTGTGCAGTTTTTCAATGTGAAAGATCCGTCATTGAAGGTAACTAGATTAGATAAGATCTTCCTAGGTTCTAAGAAGCTCTATGTTACTATGCCAAGATTTAGTAGGAAGAGTAAAAATGATAGTATAAGGTTTGACAATACGATACCTTCTGAAGGTAGATGGAACTGTGGAATGTCCCAAGATGATGTGAGTTTGTGGTTAGGAAGACGAATAAATCTAGCTCTAACCATGGTGTAAACTATTAGGATATGAGCACAGGTGGTCGTTCGTTTGCTCATGTTCTTCAATATCCAATTATCTCTTGTAATAATATAATTTTTTTTTAAATGAATCCTTTTAACTTATATGAACACACAAAACTATATATATATATATATATATATATATATATATATATATATATATATATATATATATATATATATATATATATATATATATATATATATATATATATATATATATATATATATATATATATAGAGAGAGAGAGAGAGAGAGAGAGAGAGAGTGTGTGTGTGTGTGTGTGTGAGAGAGAGAGAGAGAGAGGGTACAGCTTCTCTGTAACTTTTCTTAACCAACCTTAACCATTTTCTTCAACAACTCTTTCAGTGGAAGGTTGGAAGATAGTGAAAAATCAAAAGAATTTTCATAATTTTAAGGATAAACAATGGGACAAAGCTAGAAGAAAGAGACGTGTTATTGTTGTGGGAGAGAGTACTACTTTCTTTTCATTTCATTTTCGAAAGATTATGGCACTAAAGATATGTAGGAAATTTTTTCTCAGTTTGGGGACTTTCATGAGGTGGTTATTCTGCCGAAGCTTGATAAATGAAAAAGGAGATATGGCTTTGTGCGATTTTTCAATGTGAAAGATCTATCATTGAAGGTAATTAGATTGGATAACTTCTTCCTAGGTTCTAGGAAGCTTTATGTTATTTTGCCAAGATTTAGTAGGAAGAGTAAAAATGATAGTAGAAGGTTTGACAGTACGTACCTTTTGAAGGTAAATGGAATTGTGGAATGTCCCAAGATTATGAGAGTTTTGTGGTTAGAAAGACGAATAACTCTAGCTCTAACCATGGTGTCAACTATTAGGATATGAGCACAGGTGGTCGTTCATATGCTCATGTTCTTCAATATCTAGTTATCTCTTGTAACAATATAAATTTTTTAAAATGACTCCTTTTAACTTGTATGAACATACATAAATATGAGGGGAGAGAGAGAGAGAGTCAAACTTCTCTCTATATTTTCTTAAGCGACTGTTTCAGTGGAAAGCTGCAAGAGAGTGAAAAATTGCAAGATTTTTCATAATCTTAAGGCTAAAGAGTCGGACAATATAGGTAGTAAGAGATGCAGTGTTGTTGTGGGACAGACTACTACTTTCTTTTTAACTTTGTTTTCAGAAGATTATGGCTCTAAATATATGCAGGAAGTTTTTTCTTAGTTTGGGGACCTTCATGAGGTGGTCATTCCTTTGATGCTTGTTAAATTTAGAAGGAGATATGGCTCTGCGCGGTTTCTCAATGCGAAAAATTTGTCGTTCATGGCAGCTAGATTGGACAATATCTTCCTAGGTTCTAGAAAGTTTTATGACAATTTTCCAAGATTTACTAAGGAGAGTAATGATTATGGTAGGAGGTTTGACAAGACGAAATCTTCTAAGGTTAAATAGAACTCTATAAAATCCTAAGATGATGAGAGTTTATCAGTTAGAAAGAAGAATAACTCTAATTCTAACCATGGTGTCAACTATCAAGATAGGAGGATAGACGATCGTTCGTATGCTAATGTATGCTAATGTACTTCATGATTTAGTTCTCTCAATACAATATAGTTTTTTAAATTTACTCCATTTAACTTCTATGAACATACAAAAGTATGGAGAGAGAGAGAGAGAGTCAAACTTCTCTCTAACATTTCTTAACCAACCCTAACCATTTTCTTAACCAACCCTTAACTTATCAAAGTGTTCCATATTAGTCCTTTTTGTCCTAATACTGATCGAAAAATTTAAAAATCAGTCGCTAAATTCTTCGCTAATTAGACCAAAAAGACTAATATGGAACATTTTGAATAGTTAAGGGACCAATATGGACTTTTTAAAGTTAAGAGACCAATATAAACCTTTTTAAAATTAAGGGACCAAAATAAATCTCAAAATTAAGATACAGAGAAAAATGATATTAAACCTTTAATATTTTAAAACTACTCCTTTTAACTTTATGAACAAACAAAAATATGAAGAAAGGGAGAGTACAACTTCTCTCTAACTTTTCTTAACCAACCTTGACCATTTTCTTAAACAGGTGATAGTTGTTGTGGGAGAGAATACTACTTTCGTGTTTACTTTGTTTTCGGAAGATTATGGCGCTAAAGATATGAAAGAACAGTCTGACCTTTTTCGGAAGATTATGGCGCTAAAGATATGAAAGAACAATCTGACCTTTTAATTTACCGGTTTAATGTTTAAAATTCCAGTTTTGTTACCGTAGGATTTTTAGCACTAATTAGACTGAAAATAGGTCTTGTTTCCGGTCTAACCGTGAACCAGCGGATCCATTTCAATTTTAATAACCATTCCATGGATGAATTAGCTCTTATATTTTTTTTTTAATTTAACCTTGCTTATAAAAAAAAATTACAATTTTATAAAACTCCAAGACTTATAAAAATTTGCAATGTTTTATGTTAATTTTATTAAAAGGTAGACTACTTGTATATTTGTGTTCACAAAGTTAATATTTGATGGACACATTCTCCCTTATCCACCTCCAAATATAACATTTTTTGAGTCACTCATTATAAAATCTATGTTACCCCGATGTAAAATTAGCGATTAAAAAAAAAAGAATGGTGTATGTAATGTATCATGATTCTTGTGCAAATGGCATCAAAAATTTTAAAGTGAGATTACGTCAGTCGTGTCATTAGTCGAAATTGTATGCAGATATATGCTGGCTTAATTCCTTGTCACATACTATTAGCCAGAAGTGTCTAATATAATAGCAAATCCTTTGAAATTCCAATTGATATTCGAAAAAGATTATGAAACGAGAACCGTCCTACACCGGATCAGATTTGTTAGAGACGGGACATTCCCACGCTGTTTTTCATGCATACAAATAAAAAAGATTCTCTAGTTTTAATTAGTAGAAGATTCATGGTACAAATCCTTTATGTTCACACTATTCTTGTCTCATTTCAAATCACACGTGTCACGCATTCAATAGACTTGGACGTAGTGACAACGTACGAACGTGTTGTGTTAATCATCAATATTCATGACTCATGCATTACCTTCCACCACGTGTAACACACTATTCAACCTATTCCCTTCATTCCTTTTCTCGTTTCTACAGTTTCTTTCTTTCCTATATATATTCAAGCTAGCCTCCATTATTTCACATACACTTAACATCAACATCATATAGACTGAAAAAATGTCAAAGAGATTTAACTTTCTTGTGCAGTATAAAGAATTGATCAAAAATCTCCAATCAACCACTACTCCTAAAGCTGATATAGTTAGACAATTCTCAATTGCAAAACAATCTCATTATTTGCATACTCAAGTATATATAATACACTATACCTCACTTTCCTTTATCATATTATATGTTTGATTTTTGAACTTTTTTTTTATTGTCTATTTTTTTTTCTTAATTCAGGGTGGTGATCCACTAGTAGGACCAGAAAATCAAGGGTCGGAGAAAGCAAGAGAGGTTTCGGGAAATGTTGAAGAAATCACAAGTGTGGAGACTGCATCAGATGAAACAAAGAAAACTATGCCATTAGTGACAGATACAACCACTGCAGAAGCTGATATGAACGTTATGGACACAGTGGAATATAGAAGTAGGGAAGGTTTGGTAGGGCAACTTGGAGATGGCTGTGATAACGTTCGCTTCTAATAAAGGAATATATATATATATATATATAAATATATATATATATATATATATATATATATATATATATATATATATATATATATATATATATATAGGAATTAATATATATATATATATATATATATATATATATAGGAATTAATGAGAGGGTAATCTTAATATATACACACTATGTTTTTTTTTTTGTTTTAAATTTTATCTATGATGAAATGAAATGAAGTTAACATTAAACAATTTGATATGTCCATTTGGTTGGATATGTTTTTCTTTTCAATATGTCGGTTTTGAGAATGAGGGCCAAAAATTATCTTTAAAGAGTATGTTTCATAAGCAACAAAAACAATGTATATATGGATCTTCTTCAACTTCCAATTTCTGAATTTGACTAACTAAAACCAGTTCAAAAACGTTGTCGGAAACTATTTAATTTATGAAGGTTGAGTTATTGGCCAGAAATTTAAACAAATGATAAGGAAGATTTGGAACATAAAATTAATATATAGAAAGATTCGACTATTTTTATACAATAAACTCAAGATGCATTATTCTTATAAAGTTACACTAAAGTTAAGATGCATTAGCAGACGTTAAAAGTTTATTCATCACAATTTTGTAATCTTCTATCTTAAAGATGATATTAAAGATGATAATTGAAGTGACGTTTATAAAAAATTGAGTTATGGACAATTTGAATGGCCTTTTGTTATACAATATATAGGTGTTGGTATAGAAAAAATGACTTGGTATAGAAAAAATGACTTTCATTTTAAAAAGTAAGCAATGAAATCAAACTATCTTAGTATGATACGAACGAGAAATAATATTTTATTTCTTACTTAAAATAAGAGAGTTTTTGAGTTTGTTGTGGTAGACTTATAATCTAAGGAATTTTTAGTAAATAAGAGAGTCTCATGTCTTCTAATAAAGACGATGAGGGAAAGAGAAGGTGAAGAACAAAGGTTCAATGTACTGTAGTAGGAGAGATAACAATAAGTTGAATAATAACATGAATAATATAAGCAATATCTGATCATAATAGAACACTAAATTTTCAATCAAAGTACGATATAAGGTGGGATATAGCATAAGAACACCATCAAATGTAGCATATTTTACATTCCAATGTCTTCTAACGAAGACGATGAGGGAAAGAGAAGGCGAAGAACAAAGGTTTAATGCACTGTAGTAGGAGAGATAACAATAAGTTGAATAATAACATGAATAATATAAGCAATATCTGATCATAATAGAACACTAAATTTTCAATCAAAGTACGATATAAGGTGGGATATAGCATAACAATAGGATTATTTTCTACTCTAGTATTAGAAAGACGAGTTTGTTCAATAATGTTGACAATATATTTGAATTGAGATAGAAGATAGTCTCTTTGGAATCGACAACTTCAATGCCCAAGAAATAGTAAAAAATGCACGTCATTCATTTCATATTGTTTGGCTAACTGTAATTTCAATGATTAATTCAATCCATATCATCACTTGTAATAATCATATCGTCAACATATAATGAGAATAAAACACGATCATGATAAGTGGTTTTGACAAAGAAAGTAAAATGGTGATCCCTAGAGCGAAATCCGATGTAATCACAGTGGTAAACTTCTCAAACCAAACATGGAGCTTGTTTCACACCATTAGTGTCTTTTTCAAATTGCACACTTCCCCATTATTATGAGAAATATCTTGTGGTGGAACCGTTTAATCATCCTCTTTGAAGATCACAATTTAGAAATGCATTTTTAACATCCATTTGAAAAATATGCCTCTTTGAAGTAAGAGTGTAAATAGTAGTCATCTTAGCAACAAGAGAAAATATTTTTTCATAATCCGTACAATACTATTAAAAGAATTCCTTAGCAACAAGACATGCTTTGTAGCGCTCAACTGATCCATCAGACTTAGTTTTGATCTTGTATATCCAGTGAGACTGAATATCACATTTTCTAGGAGGAATGTGAACTAGGAAAACAACATGACGAGAGACAAAAATTTCTAGCATCAGAATCATAACGATAACTCTTTTGATCATTTTTATAACCAATAAAAATATATATAGAAGAATGAGAAGACAACTTACTATTTTCTACTTGTGGGCGAAAAACAAAACATGTAAAATCAAACACTTTCAAAGAGGAATAATCAGGGATATAGCTATACAATATTTCAAAAGGAGACAAACCTAATGTGATAGACGTTGGAATTTTATTAATAACATGAACGCTAAAAACTGCTTCACCCCAAAACTCACTAGGAACCGAAGTAAACAACAAAAGGAAATGAGCAGTCTCAATGATGTTATGATGTTTCCTTCCACCCACTTCGTTATGTTGAGGAATATCAGTACAAGATGTTTGATGAGTTGTACCATCAAAATTAAGTAATTCAAAATTTATTAGAGGTATATTCACCACCTAAATCACAACAGAAACACTTTATAACAACATTATATTGAATCTTAACCATAACACGAAACATACAATAAATGTCAAAAAATTCAGAACAATTTTTCATAAGATAAACCAAACAGTAACAAATATAATCATCAATAAACGAAACATAATATCTAGATCTAGCCTTAGTAAGTAGCGGTAATGGACCCCATATGTCATAGTGAAATAAGTCAAACAAGGCATATGAAATGAAAACACCTTTAATAAATGTTAAATTTGAAAATTTAGCAAGTTTACAACCATAACAATCTGAAGTATCACTAGTTTCTAACATTTTTGACGCTCTAGTAAAAGCCAAATATTTTAGTCTATGAGAAGAGACATGTCCAAGACGATAATGCCACAAATAAAAGCTAGAAGATGAAGATTCAAACGAAAAGAGGATGATAAATAAGTAGTGAAAGTAGAGGTTGAAGTTTCGATATCTGGAACTCTCAACTCATCCAAAACATAAAGCCCCCTTGTCTACGGCCTGTTCCAATCAGCCTTCTGAAATGAGGGTCCTACACACAAAAAGAATTGGAAGAAAACGTAACCGAATAACCAGAATCACACAATTGATTAACGGAAGAAAGACTTAAAGTGAGGTTAGGAAGGCATTTTTAACATCCATTTGAAAAATATGCCTCTTTGCAGTAAGAGTGTAAATAGTAGTCATCTTAGCAACAAGAGAAAATATTTTTTCATAATCCGTACAATACTATTAAAAGAATTCCTTAGCAACAAGACATGCTTTGTAGCGCTCAACTGATCCATCAGACTTAGTTTTGATCTTGTATATCCAGTGAGACTGAATATCACATTTTCTAGGAGGAATGTGAACTAGGAAAACAACATGACGAGAGACAAAAATTTCTAGCATCAGAATCATAACGATAACTCTTTTGATCATTCTTATAACCAATAAAAATATATATAGAAGAATGAGAAGACAACTTACTATTTTCTACTTGTGGGCGAAAAACAAAACATGTAAAATCAAACACTTTCAAAGAGGAATAATCAGGGATATAGCTATACAATATTTCAAAGGGAGACAAACCTAATGTGATAGACGTTGGAATTTTATTAATAACATGAACGCTAAAAACTGCTTCACCCCAAAACTCACTAGGAACCGAAGTAAACAACAAAAGGAAATGAGCAGTCTCAATGATGTTATGATGTTTCCTTCCACCCACTTCGTTATGTTGAGGAATATCAGTACAAGATGTTTGATGAGTTGTACCATCAAAATTAAGTAATTCAAAATTTATTAGAGGTATATTCACCACCTATATCACAACAGAAACACTTTATAACAACATTATATTGAATCTTAACCATAACACGAAACATACAATAAATGTCAAAAAATTCAGAACATTTTTTCATAAGATAAACCAAACAGTAACAAATATAATCATCAATAAACAAAACATAATATCTAGACCTAGCCTTAGTAAGTAGATGTGATGGACCCCATATGTCATAGTGAAATAAGTCAAACAAGGCATATGAAATGAAAACACCTTTTATAAATGTTAAATTTGAAAATTTAGCAAGTTTACAACCATAACAATCTGAAGTATCACTAGTTTCTAACATTTTTGACGCTCTAGTAAAAGCCAAATATTTTAGTCTATGAGAAGAGACATGTCCAAGACGATAATGCCACAAATAAAAACTAGAAGATGAAGATTCAAACGAAAAGAGGATGATAAATAAGTAGTGAAAGTAGAGGTTGAAGTTGCGATATCTGGAACTCTCAACTCATCCAAAACATAAAGCCCCCTTGTCTACGGCCTGTTCCAATCAGCCTTCTGAAATGAGGGTCCTACACACAAAAAGAATTGGAAGAAAACGTAACCGAATAACCAGAATCACACAATTGATTAAAGGAAGAAAGACTTAAAGTGAGGCTAGGAAGGCATTTTTAACATCCATTTGAAAAATATGCCTCTTTGCAGTAAGAGTGTAAATAGTAGCCATCTTAGCAACAAGAGAAAATATTTTTTCATAATCCGTACAATACTATTAAAAGAATTCCTTAGCAACAAGACATGCTTTGTAGCGCTCAACTGATCCATCAGACTTAGTTTTGATCTTGTATATCCAGTGAGACTGAATATCACATTTTCTAGGAGGAATGTGAACTAGGAAAACAACATGACGAGAGACAAAAATTTCTAGCATCAGAATCATAACGATAACTCTTTTGATTATACTTATAACCAATAAAAATATATATAGAAGAATGAGAAGACAACTTACTATTTTCTACTTGTGGGCGAAAAACAAAACATGTAAAATCAAACACTTTCAAAGAGGAATAATCAGGGATATAGCTATACAATATTTCAAAGGGAGACAAACCTAATGTGATAGACGTTGGAATTTTATTAATAACATGAACGCTAAAAACTGCTTCACCCCAAAACTCACTAGGAACCGAAGTAAACAACAAAAGGAAATGAGCAGTCTCAATGATGTTATGATGTTTCCTTCCACCCACTTCGTTATGTTGAGGAATATCAGTACAAGATGTTTG